TAGAAAGATTTTTGTCATGACCTTTTTTGTAGAGCCAATAGAGCGTTATAAAAAAAGTTATGAGGAAAATTTCGCTATCTCTCTTAGATGCCGAGATATTCAGCAAAAACTGGCTAATAGTCAAAATCGACTTAACTCGGTTTACCGCTTCACTACTGAATTGTTTTTCGCACTAATTCTTTTTTTTCATACATATTTAATCGATCTTCAATGTATGACAAATATCACTTAAATAGTCTGGGGTTTTGAGAACTTATAGTAGTTTACTCTTAAATAACAAATGAAATTAATTTCAAAAAGAACACGTTGAGTGCTTGGAGAAAATTTCACCTTCCGCACTTGTCGCGCGAGGCACTCTCCATGCAGCTACCCTCACTACACTCACTTCGTTACCCCCACTATGATCGTACGGGGACCCGAGTAATTGAAATTATTGGGTTGTAAACTTTATAGCCCTTCCTAATTGGTTTTATTGCAGTAGCTCCGAACTACCTGGACGTTGCCCATCCCTGCTCTAGATTCTAGATTCTAGAATCTAGAATCTTAGAATTGCCTTTTTTTCACTTCGGCCATCACCCAACCCACTCGTCAGGAATCTCCAATTTTCCGCCCTTGGTGCACAATATACTATTTTCACACACCTGCACGCAAAGTTCGTACTTTCCTCCTGCTCATCAGAGAGTAAAATATAAATTTTTCTTTGCAGGCGTATTAAAGAATAGCATGTGCACCTCGGGCGGGAAAACATGACTTTCTGCCCTTGATGCACAATATACTATTTTCTCAACGCAAGAGTTTTAACTTGAAAAGGCTCTTAAGGTGAAACGGAACCCCTGTGTCGACATGAATTTTTAAAATTGTTTTTTCCTGAACTTATTATTTTTTATTTATGAAACTACTTCATTGACCCAACAATGCAATGATCGAGTCGATAAAGTAATTTCATAGATACAAAGTAATAATTGTAGGAGAAAGCACAATTCTAAAAATTTAAATAAACACAGGGGTTCCGTTTCCCCTTAACAAACGAAATACATATTCCAGAAGGTTCAATTTTATCGCACTCTCCAGAATGTCATACAACCCCCACTCCGTCCGGGGATGAGTCAGTCGGAGAGGGCCCCATAGAGGGGGTCATAAAAGTCCTACGCCCGGTGCAAAGGGGCCTGTTCAACCTATTGTAACCGAGCTAATTGGGTCCGGGAGTTACGATCACTCAATGAGCGCTCTGTGTCCTTTCTTGCTCTAGAATGTCTCCTTAACCTTAACCTTCACATTTGTGTACATACGATACATATGTGTGAGTCAAAATTTGAGTCAAGTGGTTGAAAATTGCGGCATGAGGACACTTTTCAATCTGATGAAGACATTGTCAACTTCCATAGAAGGGATCGAAAATCTACGAAACTTGGCTGACGATATAAAATTCCTGGATACCGTCGAGATCCACCACAAGACGTAAACTCCTCTCTGCTCATTTTCTGTCACTGTCCTGAGCCTCTTTGTTCCTTCTTTGTCGTCATTTTTTTCATCTCTCACCCCCAAACGTCTTCCGATAGTGCTGATGGCCCATTGTCGTCTCACCGTTCCCTTTGTCGTAGAATCCACTAGAGCGTGATGAGGCGTAGATACTCATCTGCGTCGTTTACATCAAAATTCATGGAATGCCATAGTTTATTTTCTGCGCTCTAATTGAGATTTTTTTTGGAATAGTTTTTGACTATTTCTTCGATCATTTCGAAAAGTGATCAGATGAACTCAATTGATTTTCATTAATTTCGAGGATTAGATTGTAGATTATTTCAGTTATTACTATGCCGGAGTGAAAAAATACGATGTTAACACTGCTTTGGTCACGCTATGAGGGCCACGCCGCACTTTTTCCAATTTTTTTAATGACACTGCAGTCAAGCCTCAGAGAAAATTGAAAAAATTTGACATCTCATTTCGAAGTGTCCAGAAGGCTCATCAACGAAGATTTCAATGATAAATAGACAACACTGAGGATGAAAAATCCCACGGAATTTTTTCGAGCATACAATCTAGATCACTGTTGATATTTTTCAGATTTTTCTTAGATATTTCAAATTTATCATTATGTCGATTATGTGCGGCGCGGTACTAATGGCGCGACCATCGGAGTGTTAACGATGTCCAAGTGCTTTGGCTATTTTGTCTCCAGGGAAATGCTTTTCTACTTTTATAGTCGAACATCAGAGCTTTTATCTCAGCGCAATTTAACCTTAAGTCTTCAGACATTTTACAAGGATTATTATTATTATTTAAACGTCGCAGGTCTGAATTTGAATCTCGATATCAAATCGTTAGTGATGCCGTCGAGACTAGTCGAGAATTATTTTCAAGAGATCATCACGGTCTGGATAAACATCGAAAGTGATCGTCGCAATCTCGAAAAACATTGGATCGATGCATCTCGTCACAATTCCGGGATGGTTTATCTTGCCTGGGTCTCGAGATTTTCGGTTTTCTAAGTTCACGAGACGAGACAGATATAGAGACAAACATTTGAAAAACAGAAAATACTGAAACTTAGAGGTGATGGATTCTTCCAAGTTCGTAACGAGATGCACTGATCCAGTGTCTTTCGAGATTACGACGATTCCTAATCTTTCGATTTTTTTTTAGACCGTAATGATTTTTCCAAAATAATTCTCTTCTAGTCTCGACGGCATCACTACAAAACTTTAGAAAACATTTTAAAAATCTGACAAAATTTAGAAAGTATACTTTTGGAGGAAGACTTCAGAAATAATTAGAAATCGTCGATGACTGTTGAACCCCAATTTTTGATTCGAGCTCACTCAGACGATCCCGTCTGACCCTCAATCAGACGTTCTCATGCAGATGTCATTTGATTCTTACTATCACATCCATAAGGCCCTTCTAAACTCTTTGGTTCCTTGAATCTTACCTGTATGACCGCCTTGATCGCATTGCATATTTCTCAATATTCTAACGATATAATCCTTGTGAATCTTCTAGCTCTTCTGACCTTTCTGATTGAGGAAAGCAGTGGTCAAGCGGTTTGAATACTATTCAATTCAATTCAATTTATTTTCCCTGATGTTACAAGAGTTCTTTCCTTACCAAGCCAGAATGTTGGCCAAATCTCAAGGGTATNCCCCCCCCTGCCCCTTCCCCCACCACCACAAGGGAAGGCATATAAGGACTACCCCTAGACATCGGAGCTCAGAATCGGAGCTCATAGCCCTGAAGATGCAGACTGCAATGTTTGCGAAACGTTGGCGCAACGCTGAATCCAAACGCGGCATCCATCCGGAAGCCAAAGATTTCAGTTCTTTCCTTGTTTTACATCTCCACCAGCCCTTCTTTCTCCACCTCTCCTTATATTATTTATTACATGCTTATATAGATATTTTAAACTTTGAAATTTTAACTAACAACTCAGAGGTTTGAATACTATATGAAGTTCATAATATTCAATCCATCATTCTCCGAGTCATTTCTCTATGAGATTCATAAAATGGATCACACAGTTCTTCATGCTTGGCATAACCCTTCCGAGATGTGATGCTTGTGAGAAATGACCCTTGGAAGGGTCTTGGTTCTGACTATCGTAATGTTTGAACCTCGCGACGTTTGACGTGTCTTGTCAGGTAATTTTTACCTAAAATCACGGAATTTCTCCAGAATCTCCTGTGACCAATTACGATACCGTCACTTAAATTTTCTGAGTCGATTCCATAATCAGTGAGCGAAGTGTGAGCTCCGTAATTTTTATTGAGCATTTCTCTCGGTGCATCAGGTAAAATCCTCGTGGCGTATCATAAATCGTCACGAGCCTTCACGGTTTATGATGGATTGTGACGTTCTGGAGTTTTCGTCATTCCGGTCCTAATAATAATTTACGGCTGTTATGACAAAAAATATTATTCGACACACAGCTTGAAAAAGTTTTCTATCTCATAACACTGCAACCCTCGCCTTCGGCTCGGGCCGCAACCTCGTATTCGCCAGAAAACTTTTTTTAGGCCTTATGTCGAAATGCACTATTTTGACCTGTTTTGACATCCTTAAAGTCATATAATAATCTGTCATTATCGACAGATGCCGCCCTTTGGCCCCAAAATCATGGGTTTTCGAGTGATTTCTTCGCAGTAAAACATTCAGAGTGACTATCAGTCCACACTAAAAGGCGTGAAAACAAGTCCTCACTGTTTTTGGTGTGAATGGACCGAGTGTATTAATTCCGGAGTTGAGTAATGAATGGAGTGAAAATTGACACCGCCATAGTGTCAATATGAACATGGTAATCAACAATGGTGTTAAACATAAAAATCTACTCGGTACCAGAAATTGACTCAGGGCTGAAGGTGAAGTAAATTCCAAAAAAGAATTGACTTTCACACCGAAATCTTTAACCCCTCACACTGGAGACATTAACACAGATTTTTTTTTATTGCGTTGAAATCAAGAAATCATCAAAATCTACTAGAAATCATGAAAATCACAAGGAATTTAAAAAAATCATCATTTCCAATTCTCATTGAGAAATCGCAGAAATGATTCAAGAAATCACAGGAAATCATAGATTTCTTTTCTCTACACCTAAATCTTCAGAACATCTACATTTTTCGATGCAAGAATCAAAATCTTCTTGAAAAAAGGATTTCTCAAAAACCTCCATTTGAAGATGACAAAATGTTTGCATCTAATGTAAAATCTTCAATCGAGAAATATTCTTACTCGTCCTGAAAAAGTCGAACTTTTGTATCAATATTTTTCTCATAAAACGCGTACTTTTTTTCAACCCTAAGTCAGATATTCGACATGTTGATAAAACAAAAAGCTTTTTCCACTCTGTTATGGACATTCAAGTTAGCTACTATTTTGGCCTCAATTCCCCTTTAAAATATGGATCAAGTCTACTTCACTGTGAAGAGATGGATTATTGGATTTTTAGAAATGGAGTGGATGGCGGAAAAATGAGAGAAAAATATTATTCCAAGGAAATTCACCTTGAGGGCTTCCTCGTGTGTGACAGCGCGAAAGGGAGTTCCATTAACTTCAAGGATTGTGTCACCCGGTCTGAGGCCAGCTCTCTCTGCCACTGAGCCCTCCTCCACTCGTGAAATATACACACCCACGCCTGAAAACAATTCCCAAAGGATTATAAACTTATAGTATGAGGGACAGTTTGAGTTTCAAGGATTTTGTGGAAAAAAAATGTGAATCGTGTTTTTTGGCTTCAAGTGGTGCGCACTAATTGTCCTACATCCTGCATTCTGCATCCCGTAGTTTCTAGTGCTTCTGGGGTACTTGAAGTTAAAGTTTCGAGTGAGGGCAGATGCTAGATGTCGGACAAGCTTTATTGCGAATATTGTGAAGTATAGAAATTTAATAATGTGTTGCTTTAGAGGTGAGTGGAGTTTGCTTCTTCAAAATGGAATGAAGAATTGAATAGATTCGAATGATGCTAACCAATTTTGACATAAAAAAGCAATTCGTTGTGTNTCCGGCCGTAAAGCAACGCTTCACTGCCTACAGCCGTTATGATACAATATTTCGTCATTAGGCCGAAAAGAACTTGAATCACAAAAAAAATATTGTTCGTCACACCGCCGAAATATACCATAGTACACGGAGAGAAATTATTAATAAAAATTATCCTACCGTTCTATAAAAGTGTATCATGAGTCAAATTTCGGAATATCAATGAGGCAACGATGGTTGCCTCATTTATATTCCGAAATTTAGTAAAAATTAATATATGATGATCAAATTTTATTCTTCGTTAGAGAAATTTTTGTCCTGATGCATAATAAATTTTACCCTTCCAGTCCAATAATTTTTATGTAGATAACAACGAAAATTCTACAACGGTTAGTAAATTTTACCCTACCGGTACAGTAATTTTTACTCTGACGGTACGGTAATTTTTATTTTTATAAGGATAAAATTTCTCTAACGTAGAATCAAATTTGATCATCATATATTAATTTTTACAAAATTTCGGGATAGAAATGAGGAAACGATGACTCATGATACACTTTTGTAGAACGGTAGGATAATTTTTATCATTAATTTCTCTCCGTGAGGTATCAATAGAAAAGGATAGACTATGGAATGATTTTTCCTGATAGAGAAATCATGTCCCCTCCCCCAATCAAGGCGGATGGATGTGGCATTGAATGTCCAATCGATTACAATCAATTCCATCCCTCGATATTAAATGACAGTGGAAACATGAATTTTTTACGTTGGCTTTGATCTTAAGGGGTCTCTCAGTAGGGCAAAACGGGGATGGGCGCGCGAGTGAGTGAAGCGTAAAATGGTCAAGTTAGTGAGGGTATTTTCGACAGAGACGAAACATCAAACATGGATAATGACGTACGTTGGATAATGACAGACATCACGCCAATTATTTTTATCGTTAATTTCAATTATTTTAATTAATCAACAAATTAACTACAAAACTCGATGATACTTCATGCCCGTATTTTTAAGGGTTTAATGTGGATAAATATAGCTTCCTTTGTTGGCAGCAGTGTGAGGGGTAAGGGACAAAATAGCGTTCATACACGGAGAGAAATTTTTGATAAAAAATTGCAGGCAGCTGTATCTTTGATACAACTGTAATTGTCCGTGGATACGTCCATGGTCTTTCCTTCTTTCTCGAATTTCCTGGAAACTCGTTGCATTCCCTCGAATTTTCTGGAAACTCCTTGAATTCTCTCAAAATGTCTAGAATTTTTTTGAATTCCGATAGATGGCGTTGCACATAAGGACCGTTTCCCAAAATGACCCCCCATATTGAAACCATAGACGTATTCACGTCAAAAAAATATCCTACCATTCTATAAAATTATCCTATCGTTCTATAAAAGTGTATCATGAGTCATCGTTTCCTCATTTCTATCCCGAAATTTAGTAAAAATTAATATATGATGATCAAATTTTATTCTACATTAGAGAAATTTTATCCTGACGCATAATAAATTTTCTTCCAGTCCAATAATTTTTATATAGATAACAACGAAAATTATAGGACGGTTGGTAAATTTTAGTTTACCGGTACAGTAATTTTTACTCTACCGACACGGTAATTTTTATTTTCATCGGGATCAAATTGAATGAATGACTGAATACTGTCTGCTGCAGTTTTCCGAACTACCGGAGCGAAATGGGTCATTTCTTTCGTCTATTCGGTAGAAAATTCTGATCCCTCAACTGAGCTCATTTCTACTTTTCTCCCTCATTTTCGACATGTTTATCGAATGAGTAACCATGAAATTTCACAATGAATTATTTCACAATGAATTATTTTTCATTTACTCGCATCTCTAGAATTACAGTAAAATTTTTTCAAATTTTTCTGATGCTTTACTGCAGTGTAATTTAAAAAATCGGAAAAAGTGCGACGCGGCGCTTGTAACGCGAACGATAGAGTGTTAATAGTTTTGAGTAGCTAATTTATTCGAAAATTTTGAGGAGACGCTGGCAAAGGAAAAAAAAGAATTTTTCGTGGTTATCGAATGAGGCCAGCTTCGGTACATCCTTGATCTCTCTCCTCTGCTATGTATTGATGAAATTAGTACATACATCTTCCACTTCATTGAAGTATCAACACAATAAAGGAATTATTCTGCATCAATTCAGTGCAGTCAAGAATGACTCCAGTGTATCGATCAGAAAATTTTTACTGAAATACAATGAATAAATGAATTCTGTCTCCTGCAGTTTTCCGAACTACCGAAGCGAAATGGGTCATTTCTTTTGTCAATTCGGTAGAAAATTCGGATCTCTCAATTGAGCTCATTTCTACTTTTGTTCCTCATTTTCAACATATTTATGGAATGTGTAATAATGAAATTTGCACAGTACGTAAACCCCATTCATGACATTTTCATACTTCACAATGAATTATTTTTCATTTACACGCATCTCTAGAATTACAGTTACTTCGCCGTCATAAAAATAAATTTTAAACTCCACTCATCTCAATTTATGTGCAGGATGCAACAATGATCTATCATGCAACTGCCTCTCTGCGCATCTTTAATATATGAATAACTGAATCACGGTTAATACATGCTGGGATGTAATGGTGCACTGAGAGAAAAATATAATTCTTCTGACTATATTCCATCACCATCGAATTATAGTCAAAAAGTCCTCAACAATTTTTCATGGGTTACGGTAACTATGGCCGGAGAAGTAATTATTACAATGGAATGTAGTCATTGCAACTATTTTATAGTTCTCCTCACGATAGATTTGTCGTGGTTACTTTTGAACTTTGGTTAGTTGAACTGCATTTTGATTTGCAAAAATTACGCTTGTGAAGTTACTATAATGTTATGTGCTGCATACAAAAAAAAATCGTATCGTTCGCCAAAATGCCTCAACTATTTTCTTATTGTAAATCGAACTTCAGATTTTTCTCTCAGTGTAGATAATAGAAAAACAAGGAGTGTAATGGAAGTTAGGGATTTTAGAGTGAGAAAATGAGATTATGGAAAACGAGTTCATCATCCGAAGAATGAAGGCCACCTGGGGGTTGGAATGGGTATACTGCACTTGGGTTCGTATTTAATTAGCCGTTGGTGTGAGAATTCCTGGAATGGAATAAGGGATTGAAGAATTAATCAAGCGACATGATTGAGGCACGACGATACCAGAGACAATGAGCTCGTTTAACGATTTACAGTGAAAATGATTAGAGGCTTAAAATGTGGAAGTAAATTCGTTTCGGTGATTATTAAGGCAATGGTAGCGATAAGCGATTATCTTGATTCTGTCTTTGCACTGAGAAAACAAATACTTTTACCAAGGAATTATTTTCTTGCGAGAAGAATTTATTTTTTTAGGAGGATATTTCTCCCGGTTAGTCATTCACAGGTGATCCAAGTCCATCTCCAAGTATTACAATCATGTTGAATTATTACATTTAGAATTATTCCAAATTATTTTACGTAAAAAAATCTCAAAGTTGGAAAAATTGAAAAATAATAAAGGGTGTTCCTACGCGATTAGTTCATATGACTTTTTTTCATATATCTCACGAATATTTACGTTGGTAGTAAGTAGGTTATGTAACTAATTCCAATTACGTACATAGAGAGAAAAATTCAATAAAAATTACCAGAAAAAAACGTAAAAATTACGTTTCGAAACGTAATCTGCGAGCGAAGTAAAATTCAATAAAAAGTGTGAGTCAGAACTGAAATTGTACGAATCGCCACGAAAATTCTACGATTTGGTCCGTAAAAATTAACCACCCGTCTGATGACTCACCGCTGTGGGGACAAGTCGTTCTGTAATTTTTCCCCAACGATTGAGAAATGTTACGGAACGGAACGTAGAAATAACTCACCAGCTTCATAAAAATTGTTGAACGTTCTAGAATTTTTGATTTTGGAGGCATAATAAGTCGGGAAGTTTCTGTAAGATTTTACTTCTCCGGGAAAAATGACGTGACAATTTCGTACTTTGTTCGGTAATGGACCTGAGAATTCACTGAACGTTTCAGATTTCTTGTCTTCCATTCCTATAAAAATTGCCGGAAAACGATTCCCCATTGCAAATTACGTGAATTGTTCCGTAATTTTTACTGAATATTTCTCTCTGTGTAGAATGTGTCGGTGGACTAGAAATTCATCGTTAACATAAGCGAAACTGACTAATGTGAATTTCAGTATGACGCTGCCATTACCTTAACTTGAAAAATTACCATGCATTTCTTTCTATAATTCTCTAGAAATATTATTCTAGGTATATGTCTAACAATTGATTCTCCGCATACGGGAATGAGCAGATGAATCATAAATTCCATAACACGGATGTCATAAACAGAAAATTGAATCCTTGACATGAAATTGATCCTCTACTAATCATTTCCATTCATTCAATTGACATGATCCAGTTAAATAATTCCCTCTCGTTATTCGATTCATCTCCTCGCTCCAATGAATTTTGAAAAATATTAATGCCGAAAAAAATATGAATAAAGATGTATTCATGCTACACTGATCTGCTGTGAGAGGTAAAAGGGCAAAAGGACTTAAAAATAAAATGAACGAAATTATACATGTGAAGGCAGATGAAATAGTAACCGTCTGCCATGGGAAAGTGGTAATTCTATATTATATTACAGTAAACTCTACTCTTCAACATTTGTACATATTTTTTTCCCATGGAATCCGGAGAAATTGAGACATCATGACTCGTGTGTCAGGATCATGAGTTCAACTCTCCGTTCGGTTTTTCGTTCGCTCTGGGGATTGGTTGATTCAATAAATGAAAAAATATCGATTAAGGTCATTCTCTTAGTTAGTTTGCTCCTGTACTATGTTTTGTTTACCTGACTGCGCTTCTGGGTACAGCGAGAAAAAGACAGAAAGTAATACATTCCCAGTGACTTTTACTTTGCTTTTCTGGTCTTTTATTTGTGGGGTAAATTGTGAGTCTGGTCGAGCCATCGAGACTCTGACAAATTGAACGTCGTATGTTCTTTTTCAGAGTGGTCGAAAGTTTTTTTTTGTTCGAAGGAGGGTGAACGTATTGAGGAAATTTATTGTTTGTCTTAGTTTCTGAAATTTTTAGCATTTTTTTCCCAATTCTTCTATTTCTGGAACTCACATGACAAAGTTTGCTTACTAGAATGTCAACTTGAATTATTGACAGAAATGTTTTTATATCCGCCAATTTCAAATTGAAAGGAAAAACAAGTGGGAAATTGCTCTTGTATTGCATATAGTACAGTTATTTTTAATAATAAATTAGCGATATGCTTCCGAATGGTTATTCTGCTATCATATATAATCAATTGTTTATTTCATTTTATTAAATTGAATAAGATTTCTTTTTAACTACTTTTGTAAGATTTTCAACTTAGTTGAATGTTATAATTATCATTATCCTTATTATCCCTTTGTTCAATACAACTGATTGTCTTTTTTACGGTTCTATCTCTCCCCTCAGCCCTTCGATAAAATGTGAATAGAATAATTTTACTGATGCATACTTGAATGTATTTGAAAGATGATATTCGAAGAAACCATAAAAAATGTAACTTTCAGAGAAATTCATGAAAAATTCGAAATTTTCCACAATCATCATAAAAATCAAATCAACGAATATAGCTATCGTAATCATCTTTTAACTTCGACTTGATGGCGTTAGAACAAACATTTTAAGCTATGATTGAATTCATTTGAAACATGATATTCAAAGATATCTCCGGAATTCTGATTATCAAAAAATACAAAATGTTTGCAAATTTTCAAATTAATTAAAATAACGATTATTGCTATCACCATCATCTTTGAACTCGGCCAAAAGGACATTCAAACTGATGTTTAAACCATCTTTCAATCAACTCAGGAGTTTTTTTTTTAGTTATCGAGGGACAACCGGTTTTCGAAATAAATCGAGAATTGGAAAAACTAATCGATGAATTAAATTTTAATTAATGGCAATTGATAGGGCTCAACGATACCTACATTTTTTAAAAATTGCATTTTCGGACTTTTTGGATCATACTGGGTCGATATAACAGAAAAAATCCAAAATTTAAGTTTGAATTATTACAAAGCTTCCAGTCGGAAGCAATATTATAAAACAACGCATCTTATTTACGAACGCTCTGCGTTCGTAAATGGCTGCCTATGGCCGGAATGACAAACAATATCATTCGACATACGGCCTAAAAAAACTTTTCTAGCTCATATGATTGGAACTGTCCCCTTCGGCTCGGGCTGCAAACTCACATTCGCCAGAAAATATTTTTTTCGGCCTAATGACGAAACCTACTATTTTGACACTGCTGCTACGTTCACTTCGTGGCGAAAAATGCCGTTTCGTTTACTTGTAAACGGAAATAGTATATTTCGATACAAGTGCGACGGGGTGGCAACGAGTGTGAAGTTGGCGGCCCGAGGCGAAGCCGAGGGCTGCCAATCACACGAGTCCAATTTCCGCCACATTGTGATGAAAAATATTGTTCGTAACTCGTAAAAAAATGTTTTTTGCACTCGTTACGAAATATACTATTTTGTTAGTGATGTTACGTTCAGCGAGTGCCGAACTGTGCCATTTTTCGTTTACTAATAAACGAAAAGTCTTTTCGTACTGCCACCCCGGCGCATTTGTATCGAAATATACTATTTCATCACAATGTGCGGAAAGGGACGTTTTAGGCACGCGAAGCGTGCCTAAAAAGTTACTCTTTCGCACAGCGTGATGAAAAAGTGTTTTTTGTCTGGTATCTCCCATGGGACAAAGAACACTTTTTCCACGAGTATCGAGCCGTATTTTTCATCACGATGTACGAAAAGTGGGACGCGGAGCGTGCGTGAAATTTTATTTTACGCACAAATGATGAAAAAGTTTTTTTTCGGGGTAAACCTCCGCCTAAATGAACATCGTCAGTTATTCATCTTTCTTTTCAAATTCTAAATCCCTTTGGGAAAAAATTTGTGAAGAAAGTTATGGGTGGTGCGAATTTCATTTCCAGTCCTAAAGTTAGCCCTATTTTGTTGGATAATATTATTTTGCTTGCATAATTATTGTTTTAATTTTCTTGAATTTTGTGATTATTTCATGTGTGAGTTTCGAGGATTCGTCCAGACTTAACATTTCATGGGAAGTGGGGCAGTGATGAATAAAAAGATAATAAATTGAGGAGAAGAAAAGATCTGGATGACTCCACTTCCGCCATGGAAAAGGATAAATACATGTCCAAGGGAGCAAAAAAAAATTCACCAAGGGATATATTCAGGTTATTTTTCGGTGAGATGAGATGAATAAACTAAATAAAGATATGAGAGAAAGAGAGGAAGAGAAAGATTCGGCTTACCAGCGTCCTTGCCGCCTTTAACGCAGATGCCAAAGCCATGGTGAGAGTCGGGGGGATCGCGAGTCATGGTAATTGTTCTGACAGTGAGCTCCTGGAGGCTGAGGGCTTGAGGCGATTGAGGAGTTGAACTCGCGGGCTGTGTCTGCTGTTGAGAGGTAGAACTCGCTCCACGAAGGGCTGAGACACTCGCTGGACTTGACGCTGGGGTGCGACGTTCATTTTGTCGTCTTTCCGCTACTCCATTGTTGAATAATCTGATTGAGCAGACGTATCCCATCAGTTTAATTCTATTATTTTTTCCCTCCGAGTGGAAGCCTTGTATTTGACCAATTTTTCGATTTTCTCGTTTTGATTGCAAATGGTCTAGAATGCTATGAAACATCCCCTTCTACTTGTCCCCCTCTACCTTCTCATTCCAGACTCGATGGAATCTCAACTATTTTCGGCTTTCAAGTCATTCTCCCAATTTATTAATAATTCCATAAATCCTTTTTTTGCTTCCGAGTGGAAGCCTTGTATTTGACCAATTTTTCGATTTTCTAGTTTTGATTGCAAATGGTCTAGAATGTTATGAAACGTGAAGAAATTAGGTTTTTAGGGTCATGTCTGGGTGTATGTAGGTGACAACTTGTGTTTTTGGTGATTAGTTTTTAGAAAATTCAACATAAATACGGGGAAATTTGTAGATAAAAATCTGAAATTTTGGCTTATTGTAGCTATTATTGAGCTCAACTTTGGCGCGCTATTTCAGCTCAATCGATCCAGTAGTTCCTGAGATATAACAACTAGTTTAAATTTCGGTTTTGCTCACTATCTCAAAAACTAGTGCACCGATTTCAAATTATATTTCATCAAAATGCTCGCCTCGATGGCCTTCATCTAGATCAGTCAATATCTATACCAATTGATATAAAATTTTCGGTATATTGCTATTGTTTCATTTTTAACATTTTTCCATTTTTGTACGCACGATAACCTGAGAAAAAAATTATGAAATTGGCCCAATGGATCTGGTAGAAATAAAGGAAAGAAAAAGACGACTGCCTTCTGTCGGATAGGTTCAATCCCCTGCTTGTCTGCTTTCATTTTTGAAAATTTATTGTCCACGGAGAGAAATATTCAGTAAAAATTACGGAACAATTCACGTCATTCCCAATAGGCAATCGTTTTCGGGCAATTTTTATAGGAATGGAAGAGAAGAAATCTGAACCGTTCAGTGAATTCCCAGGTTCATCACCGAACAAAGTATGAAATTGTCTCGTAATTTTTCCCGAAGAAGTAAAATCTTACAGAAACTTGCCGACTTATTATACTTTTAAAATAAAAAATTCTTGAACGTTCAACAATTTTTATGAAGATGGTGAGTTATTTCTACGTTCCGTTTCGTAAAATTTCTCAATCGTTTGGGAAAAATTACGGAACGACTTGTCTCCACAGCGGTGATTCATCAGATGAGTGGTTAATTTTTACGGAACAAAACGTTGAATTTACGTGGCGATTCGTACAATTTCCGTTCCGATTCACACTTTTTATTGAATTTTACTTCGCTCGCGCATTACGTTTCAAAACGTAATTTTTACTTTTTTTCTGGTAATTTTTATTGAATTTTTCTCTCCGTGTATCTATTTATTGTACTCTTCTTAATTATCCAAAAATAAGTGATTATTATTTCCCGTGGAGTTTGGTATAAATTCATTTTTGGCATAAAAAACTGATTTTTCTTTGAGTCAACCTGAGAACTTGTTCTGGTGATATAGCACCACCACCACCAGTTCCATGTCCTCGATGTCTGTACGGAGTTGCATGAGAGGAATGATGATGCGGCGCACTCGGTGGTCTCTCTACAATGGTGTAACTCGTCCCAGGTGGGCTGTAGTACCCTCTATTCTGCGTACTCCGATGTCTACCCCCCGATGGCTCAAGGTCCTCAGCCTCGTAGCATCCACCAGCACCGCCACCACCTCCACCCCTCAAAAATCCACCTCCGCTGTTACGCAGAAAGTGAGAGGACCCACCACCACCCCACTGAAGCTCCTGCAGCTCTGAGCCGTAGTCCTCCGTACTGCTCGCCATCTTCTTCGATTGTCAAACCTGAAAAATCATTTTTTCATTAATTTTTCAACAATCTAGATCGATTTGAACAAATAAAAAACTTAATAGTCATTCAATAATCATCAAAAATTATCCCATTGAATGAGAGGCGCAATCTTTCTTCTCAAACCCTTCTTATAAGCTCATTCTGCTCCACTTGATTATGAGCGACACATTATAGTAGAAAATTTTACCAATTACAAACAGAACAAAAAAGTTTTTAGTTTCCAGAAACTGAAAACTTTTTCGTATTAAAATTTAGCGAGCAGAAAGTCGTGGAAAGAAGTAAAAAACTGAGCATTAGCACGAGGTATTTTCCTGCAAAAATTGATACAATCGTTTATGGTGCAGGCAAGCTTGAGGGAAATACTCGGATAATTTTGAAGCCCGAGGGGTAATTATCGGATTATATCGCGAGAACAGATCGCAGCCATTCAAGGTGCAGTATTTTAAGTCACAATTTCGTGATAAACCTAGTGTACAATATTCGATTATAATACTCCGAGAGCTTCAAAACAATGGAATATTTCCCGATAACTTCGTTGGATACAAATGATTATGTCAAGTTTCGCAGGTTAAAATAATCTCAAGCGCCTGCACGAGGGATTTATCCTGCGAATCTTGACGCTCTCGTTTGTATGCAGGAAAGTTTGAGGGAAATACTCCGATTCATTTTGAAGCTCAAGAGGTACGCGGCGAATTATTTCCAACATTACCATTACGATAAATAGAATTGTGGTATTCGATGTCATCGTGGTACAATAGACAATTGTTCGTCCTGACGGGCACAAAGTACGCATTTCTATTTTAGATTTCCCTCCCGCTAGGCGGGACGGAAATCTGACTTTGCGACTATGCCGGGGCAAAAAATTCGGTTCTAACCACGGGAATTAAAATAAAAGAATTGTGCCCATTTGCGGAATTATCCTTACCCCCGTGCTTATGTGGCAATTCCGCACGTGGGCAGGACTCCTTTATCTCATCTTCCTAGGTTACAAATATAGTTTATGTCGCGCCGTGTAATTCTGCACGACTTGACATAAAATATTATAGAGCACTCGGTAATAAATTTCGTTTTCAACGTATGTGTGTACAGACCTCGCCTTCGGCTCGGCCTGTAAACTACACATTCGTTGAAAACGAAATTTGTGCCCTTGTACTCTAATGTACTAATATTGTGCCAAGGTGCACATGCGATTTTTTAACACGCCTGAAAAGGAAAGTTCGTATTTTGGTCTTTGATGAGCAGGAGGAAAGTATGAACTTTCCGTGCAAGGGCGTGAAAATAGTATATTGTGCATCAAGGGCGGAAGGTCAAGACTTTCCGCCCGAGGTGCACATGCGATTTTTTAACACGCCTGCACGGAAAGTTCATATTTTGTTCATTGATGAGCGAGAAGAAAGTGCTCACTTTCGCCTTCGGCTCGGATTATAAAGCCACATTCGCCAGATAATACTTTTATCGCCNACATGCGATTTTTTAACACGCCTGAAAAGGAAAGTTCGTATTTTGCTCTTTGATGAGCGGGAGGAAAGTATGAACTTTCCGTGCAAGGGTGTGAAAATAGTATATTGTGCATCAAGGGCGGAAGGTCAAGAGCGGGAAGAAAGTGCTCACTTTCGCCTTCGGCTCGGATTATAAAGCCACATTCGCCAGATAATACTTTTATCGCCTAATGACATAATCTACTATTATCGCCGTGTGGAATACAATATTTTATGTCATTGGGCCCGAAAACCACGATCTAATCCAGCGAAGCGAGGTTAGAATCGCGGTTCATCGAGCCTCATGACATACAAAAATTATGGTCGCATACACTGATAGAATGATTCATTTATTCCAAACGAGATTCGGTAACTATTAACGAATAGTAGAGTTGAATATGACCAAATGAATATTCGTTAATAGTTAACGAACGGTTCACTTGAATGGCGAAAGTCAAGTCAAACACAGCTCCTCAAATATTCAGACGTTAACTATTAACGAATGAACATTTGGTGGAACCGAATAGACCCTAACCTCCAACCAAAATCCATTCGTTAACAATAACTAATCCGTTTTATCAGTGTAGCATTCTTTGGCTGTTCAGCTACACTGTTAGAAAAAAAAATGAAATTTCATGGACAGTTGACTACCAATTTTCAGGACAGTGACACTGAATGCGATTTAGGGGAAGAAACATCATGAAATTTCAGGTTTCACTGAAAATTCAGTAAAATTCCAGAATTTTACACCCCGTTTTGCCCCGGTCTCCCCCATATTTTTTCAAAACTTCGTTATTCAACCAATATGAAAAAAAAAATGTTTTTCAAGTGTTCTATTCTTGCTGTGTCACCGAAGCCCCCCAATATTGCACAGATTCAATAAACCCTTGTGTTGGGTTCGGTTTACAATAATCGATCTCAGCACTTGGCACAGGTTCAGATGAATAAGTCCCCCTCTCCTGTACGTTTGTGGTGATACCAGTCTCGCTCATTCTGTTGGGTCACTGTACCGAAATTCACTGGGACAATTTTCAGATGTGTATAAAACCGTCACTCACGTGCATTTTGGCACGCGACTCAACCCTGCCACACCACTCGTCTGTACCACTTGCCAACTGGAAAGTCTTTGAGGGTGTTCAACCCTTGACTCTGAACCCCTGAAACTTCGGTATTTATAAATACCAGCACTTCACGTGTTTAATTCATTGTAAATTGTCTGGCAAATATTCGGAATTGACTTGTACATTTAAAGAGATGATGAAAGCCTTGGGGAATCCTTAGAATGGTAATTGTAAGATGTAGTCACATTATTTTGCCAATAGTATACACTGAGAGAAAAATATGATTCTCCTGACTATATTCCATCACCATCGAATTATAGTCAAAAAGTCCTCAACAATTTTTTATGGGGTACGGTAACTATGGTCGGAGAAGTAATTACTACAATGGAATGCAGTCATTGCAATTATTTTATAGTTCTCCTCACGATAGGTTTGTCGTGGTTACTTTTGAACTTTGGTTAGTATAACTGCATTTTGATTTGTAAAAATTACGTTTGTGAAAAAAAAATCGTATCGTTCACCAAAACGGTCTCAACTATTTTCTTATTGTAAATCGATCTGCAGGTTTTTCTCTCAGTGTATTTCGTCGCTAGGCCGCAAAAAACTTCTGACGAATATGAGTCTGCAGCCGGAGCCGAAGGCGAGGGTTGCAATTATATGAGCTAGAAAAGTTTGTTTAGGCCCTGTCACGAACAATATTTTTTGTCATAATGGCTGTAGGCAGTGATCGCGTAGCGTCCGTGAAGGGCCGCCTTACGGCTGGAATGACAAAAAATATTTTATATATTTTTGGTCAAAGATAATGAAAACAACTTGCGAACAAGTTTTTCACGAACATTATCGAATTGGGGCAAATTCAGTTTGAAATACGAGTGATCATTCCTTCCCACATAATGACTCATCGTTTTTCGAAATGTTTAACGATCCGTTAGTCACGCAAAATTTACAAACAGCATTAGTTTCAATTTTACGAACGTTTTTTAATTCCGCTATGTGATTTTTTTGTGTTCGACTGATGATTTCCTTGATACAAGAAAATATTCTCTTGTCAATTTCTAGAATCGTGAAATTGACAATCCTGGTAAATAATTTTGTGCTCACACTGAGGGAGAGAAATATTAGGAAATATTAATATATTTCCTAATATGTAGACCATATTTACTTGAGAGAAGTAAATTATTTTCAATGGATTAAATCTCAGAATATGTGCGCTTCACGGAACTCGGATAATTTCTCAATTATCACTATCGTTCCGCATGAACATCATCATGAATGTATTACATATTGAAACATTAAAAGTGCAGTAAAAAATCATGAAAACAATAAATACTTGAAGATTGACGATTCTTCTAGGCGATTTGAGTGAGTTCATATGCGACAAAATTATACTTGAGTACAAAAATATTTTAAAGTATGAGACCCTTCTCCGGCTGCATGAGTTGAGATGCCTGAGAGAATTAAGCGATTGAAATAGTATTTTTCCGGCCTGTTGCGATGGGGTTTTTTACTCGTGTGGCGTTGGCCTCCGAGCCGTAGGCGAAGAGTGGCCAACCACACGAGTCAAAAAACCCCATCGCAACAGCCCAGGAGCAATATTTTTCGGTAGTGATTTTCAAGTTTTCGAGTTTGGGAAGTATGTAATACCAATTCCCAGACGAGAAATCGTGAGAAGCAGTACAGAAAAAGAAATTGCGTGTCTAAAATAAATATGTTTCAGAGATTAGAACTTTTTTCCAGCGCAGCGTATTCAACATCGAAAAGAGAGCGAAGTTAGCCGAATCTGACGGTCACTTCGAGCAGAGGATTTATCATCATTGATTTATTCATCAAACCATCGACAAATTTCAAATGTCACATGACCAGCGGAAAATTATTGTTAACAATTCGCACTAATTCCAAAAACTTAAATTTTCTCGCGTGATTCCTGGCACCATTGAGTAGACAATGTGAGCGAGTCAGCGTTTCTCTTGCACCCCTAAGAATCGTAGCGATATATTGATAGAAATATTGAACCATGAAATAGGAGAGAGTCAATGAAATTGCAAGCTTATGTCACGCCCTTAGCAGCAGGGGTCTGTGGCTACCTGCCGTGACGTGATACCAAGAATCTCAGGCTACGATCTTCACGGGGGCCGGTCACGTAATTGGACTACTTCCGGCCCACACGTTTTCAACCCAACGGCATCCGTCGATAATTCCCTTAATGGTCATGTCCAACAATTTTTTTCCTTCATTTCTTTTGCCTCCATTTCCATCACTCTAAAATCATTCATTCATGTGATGAAGCCCATTATGATCTGATATCTTTGTAACATAAATGTCTGGAAAAAGTTACAGAAGTGAAAACCTATCACTTTGAACGTTTGATTGGAGAGAAATGGTCGAAACTCTTTCCGATTACTCGAGTAGAAATTGCTTCAGGTCCACCTGAAGTGCGATCGGAACTTGATGGAG